TAAGGGTCGCTATTCATAACGAGGAACTTCCTATACCTGCTGGTCCGCTATTCATAATGGTAAAAAGGGGTCACTATTCATAACAAAATAAGGTTTGTTACTCATAAGGACCGCTATTCAAAATGTGAGATGAGGGTCGCTATTCATATAGGAGCATAGGGTCGCTATTCATAATACGAATTGAGGGTCGCTATTCATAATAGGAGAAGAGGGTCGCTATTCATAATACGAAATGAGGGTCGCTATTCATAATAGGAGAAGAGGGTCGCTATTCATAAATGAGGGTCATACCATTCAGCTCCACTTTCAAAAATATACGATGACCGTTAATTAATTAATGAATTAAAAATAACAATACATGGGCCGGCTGGTTGTGCGTAATAAAAACAACACAAGAAAGCCAACATCGGCATTGGCCGAAATACAATGTAAAAGGCGCTATTTTGTTACAAAAATCGTTGTATTTATGGATATTTCAGCCGTCTCTGAACCGATTTTGATCAAACAAAGATGATGTTGTCATTTAACCCTAATAAGGCCGGGGGGGGGGGGCATTATGCCCCCCCCCCTCCGTGATTTTTCCGATTGCTCGGGAACGCATATGGATGGCGCCCTGCCGCTCGTTGACTTTTTCCTTCGAGTCTTACGCCACTTTTAAAATAATCGGACCTACGGTTACAAGGTCACGTAATGAGATAAAAATGATTAAAAGGCCAATCTAACTGGAGGAAAACCGATTACAGGCAAAAACGCGGAAAACAACGAATAACGCAAACTATATGGACCTCATCGTTCAGTGCGTTGTAGTGTATACAAAAAGAACAAGGAAGATCTTCCAAAGTCAACCTGCTGTTGGTATATATATATATATTATATTTTGTAATAATAATGCTGTTAATATATTTATTTTATAATTTTGTCATTTGGAAGGATCATTACTTGACTAATCCTTTATGGCTTTTGAAGATAATTTAACCATAACATTATTTTCCAAAGTCTATGTCGACAAGAGGTTGACTTCAAAGGATATTACACTTTCCTCTTGTGCACACTGAGTGGCATTAAACGAAGCCTTTTGACAAGGCCTCGTGACTCTGGCTATTTTCCACCCTTATCAGCGACTGACGTGAGTCTAGAGACCCGGGGTGGCCGCGCGATTGAGTGGCTTTATAGCCGCGGGGCCTTTTAGATTCTGGCTTCTACTGCTTACATGAATTATTCATGACTTTGGACTTATTGACTAATCAGAACGGCCATCTCCCAGTTAATTTCGGTCTTGATTCGTTCATTATCAAAACATGTAAGAAAACGTAAAAGACGAATTCTAGTTTTGCTCATGAGATGAACGTAATAATGATTGATACAAAATATCACATCCACATCTTTTCTACATGCAAAATTACAATAAAATAGGAAGCATTTAATGACTTGAGCTAACAATTATTAGTGAGATTATTGGACTTTCCTTGTATATAAAATGAACCAGTCCAACTCGTTTCGTTCAATGTTATAGGTATTCGTACTACCAAAGAGAATCTCTTGCGATGATACAATCGGTGATTGACACTACCATTTCGGTAAAGAATTCCAGTTGGAAAAAGAATTAACATCAGAAATCCAAACCAGACTACTAAAGGCCACTTCGTTGGGCCACTCGCTCCGGCGTTCACTTTGGTTTTCGCGATTAGTCTCTTTTTAGTCGCTCGGTGTCTATCAGACGCGATGCCTTGTCTGAAGGCTACATTAAACGTTGAACACCCCTATTCAGTCACCGTTATTTCCTGTTTTATATTGAAGTATTTGCCTGCACTCGGTTTTCCAAAGTTGCGTCTGATTGGAGGTGTAGACAGATTTTTCAAGGTATAGGTGATATGGGTGAGTCAGCTGATATGTGGCCTACTCAACACAAAGGTTAACAGCGTCATGATTTAAAGTCAGTCATGTGACGCTGTCAATGTCAATATTTAACCATAAAAACAAAACTTTGGCCATATAATAAGTTAAGTGATATCCGGTAATAATCACTCTGCAAACAACTACATCTTACAGTGATTGGTTGCGCGGGGTTCATGATGTGAAATATGTAACTAGTGGCATTGACACCCCTTTGATGTTTATCATCCAGACACCTCATGCACGTATGCCGTCACTATCTGAAACGTGTTGTTATTTTCCGAAATTGTTTTACGACAAGGAGTACGGACAAGTCTCCTGCCCTGTGGATTAGTCACGGGGCAATAGTCAATTTTTGATTATTTCATAGGCAGTAAAGCCAACAAGTGAATGCAAGGCAAACATGTAGGTTGCCTTAACGAAGGTATGTATGTGCACAAATGATTTTTTTTCTGTAATGAGATGAAAATGATTAAAAGGCCAATCTGACGGAGGAAAACCGATTGCAGGCAAAAACGTGGAAAACAACGAATAACGCAAACTATATGAACCTCATCGTTCAGTGCGTTGTAGTGTATACAAAAAGAACAAGGAAAATCTTCCAAAGTCAACCTGCTATTGGTATATGAAGAGTTTCATTCCAAAAGGAGCTAAATCCACTTTAGGTACTTCTGAGTTAATATGGCCAACGTGAGGTATATACGATATACTAACACAAATGCCTTCGTCGTCCTATCGGGTCCTCATTTCTCTCTTGGTTATTGAGTGGCAAATGTAGATTTATGCCTTTGCCAAAGGATACTAGTCTTTACACCAACAGCACGCTCTATCATTATATTTATGATGTCATCGGCATCTTTCTTCACCATAAGATTTTCATCATACAATACTCCTGTCCAACTTTTAATTTTAATTAGAGTCTAGCGTTTTAAAACAAAAAGCAAATAATTACACCAGGATAATAATAGGCTTTCGTTATCCTAGTTTGTATTATAGTTGTAATGACTGCTATGAGAGGGAAAGTTGTTTTTATATGCTCAAGGATGTAACGTCCTCGAGAGCCTATAAAAACAACTATTCCTCGATAAATAAAGCAGTCATTATATCTTTTATATATCGAATTGAAACAAAAATCTACCAAGAATTCTTATCTTATCCTTTTCATGAGTAGAGATTGGTTAAAACATCACAGAAAATCTGAGACACTGACTGTTAATCTTCGCTATAAAGATGACTGAATCTTACACTCATTTGGATCCGCAGACAAAAAGCACTCGCACAAAGAAAATGAGAAGAATAAAAATATTTTGTTTTAAGTCATTGTGTTGTTTTCTGAAACTAATATATATTTGTGAGGAGTACTTATTTCAGTACTTTTTAAAAGTCCAACATTCAAAATGTGCACTGATTTGTATACGTAAAACATACGTCGAATCGGCCACATTTGCCATGCTCGGGTGCGTAGTAATATACGTCTAAATGGTAATGAGACGCTTTCTAAAACACCTTGGAGATTAGGTAAAAGTTGACAAATACACGTTGTACCATTTTGTTAAGATATTTCAATGTGTCACAGGGACCACGAATTGGGGAGAAATCCCCACAAAGAGTGATCTCAAAGGAGGAAAAACTACATTTCGAGACAATGAAACCCCCACATTCTAGTCAATACGTTATCAAGGATCACCTTCGTCATCGTTTCTATCTCTGTACATGAATCTAGATACAGGTTCTGCTTCCCCATCATACTTTGTCGTTATGTGTAATGTTTTCTCGATTCATTAGCATGTCAGGCAACCCTCTGGAGAGCTTTTCAGTCGTCAGAAGAAAGATTTATTCTTAAAAAGCATGCATAGAAATGTGTTAACATGTCAATTAAAAAGCAAAATCATTCGCACCCAATGACTAACGAGTCTCTACGTTGTCAACGCCCTTTTGGAATAATATATTACAAAAGGTTAGAATAGCAGCTGACGTTAAGCTTGGGTTAGATTGTAGTATGAACAATTTGGGATTTTAAACACAGAAGTGAGATGAAAATGTTTTAAAAAAAAAACAAGTGTACGTGGGTAGATTATGTAGTTTGAGGTGTATTTCTAAGTTTGTGAGAAGAAGTTTTACAGGTAAACAGGAGGAATAAAGAAGTTAATATAATGTTATGATGTGGATGAAGCGGAATGAAGTACTATATTTACTTCTATCTTTTCCTATAAATTATAAACGGAGGATTTAAAGCTAAATATGTAGTAGACCCCCCCCCCTCTCTCTCTCTCTCTCTCTTTCTTCCTCTACTTTATATATATCTTTGTTTCGCTCTCTCTTCACCCTCTTGTGTATTAATTCCATTAGTAATATTGATTTTCTTGAAGTAATCTTGATTTGTGTACAGCGTTTTGAAACGTTTATGTCACAAGCACTATATAAATTGTTCGTATTATTATTATTATTATTATTATTATTACATTTATTTCTGATCAATCAAGCAATTTAACATAACAATAGTTTTTAATACAGGGAAGATGGCGTGCTTCTTAAAAGCATGTAACCTGTATGCATGGGTTTGATACGCCCTACATCAATACAATATAAACATATAAGACCAAAAAGAAGAATAGAAGAAGAAAGGAAAATAATATAAAGGGAAAAGGAATAAGATCTAGTAAAGTTGTTGAAAACGTACTGCAACAAATTACATGATAGCGAGCGTATAAGTATTCCCATAATATTACTGGAAATATAATCAACTAGCAAAAGTATCAAAGAGCAAAAGACTCAGTCCCAGTCAGCGGGTTACTAAAAACGATAACAGTGTGTTGAATGGGGTGGTTGATTGTATTGGTGTGACTAACCTAACTAATCAGTATGAGTCTGTGGACATTGAAGGATTTGCTATTACATTGCTAGGTGCTTTAAGATTTGGGTCCAAAATTCCTTGCGAAGGGGGGGGGGGGGGGGAGCAGGGGTGGGAGGGGGCTAACGTACTATAAGTACACTTATTGTACGCCAGATAGAACATACATGATTTAGTGGTTCTTGGGTGAAAATTAGAGTCGCTAATTTGGAATAGTTTTTCACTGTTCTTCTTTGACTCTCCAGTATAAATCAACATGAAGCTTCTGCTCGCATCAATGGTCCTTCTAGCCGTGGCATTTCGCGGCTTAGATGCCAATGTGTATCGTCCATGCCCTCAGTTCTGGCTTTCATTTAACGGGAACTGCTACCGTTACTTCGGGGAGCGGGTCACTTGGGAAGCGGCTCGGGATCGCTGCAGGGATCACTACTCCTTCAACGGTCGGGCTGATCTGCTATCCATTCACACGGAACAGGAGAACGGCTTCGCATACGACCTTTTCCGCTCTTCTGCAGGCAACACACCGTCGGTAAATATGTGTGACCTAGCTTAGACTGTTAATTAAAGGAAAATCCTGCCTTAATAGTAAACTACTATACAAGAAAGCAGGAAAATCAGAAAAGCATACAATCGGACTGAAATTATGAAAATTATGATTTTTTGAAAGCAACAATCACTATAGGTATGCGTTCTTCAAATTTGCTGAATTCGCAACGTCTTCGCGATTTAGTGGCGGACAACTTTACCGTTTGTTTAAAAAAAAAATTTTGGACCAAAATGTCAATTGGGATGGCCTTTTCTTTTTATAGGACCTGTAAATAAAGAACTCTCCATAACATATGTGAGAAATGCCCCAAGGGTGAAGGCAACAGAAATTAGTGATGTTTTTGTACAGGACAAATGAGAGAGTTATCGAATATTAAGTCACAATCCACTGACAAAATTACCAATTTCAGATCCGCAGAGGTGTATATAGCGACCTCATTTCAAATCAATTATGACTTTAGTAATATTGGTCCGATTTATTTCTAACTTTCGCCAAGCTGTTTCTCTGACTCTCCTGCTGCCCCCCCCCATCTCCATCTCCAAGCTAAAGTAACGTAAACTGTTGCTCATATAGTTGGAATATTTGTTTTAACCTAAATTTATGGAATTATTTTGACATGATTTATTCCTAAAAGATCTAGATAATAGTATACATTTTATTGAATAGTAATTTGCCAATGTTTGTTTTGCGTGACTGCTAAAGCATGTGTATGCTACTATGATACAACTAGGGGACGTACGCCCTTAGGTCATAAATGATAGTAATGAGGATTAATACTCCACAAAAGGGCACTAACATAGCACATCGACACGTTTTTTATCCTGGGGCCTCACAGTTGCGAGGCCATTGCTTTGCCACTGAACCATGGGGTAGGGGGCAGTTCCCACAAATAAAAAAACAAAGAAAATGCAATGATTTTTCATATTCATTGAATCCCCCCCCCCGGTCCCCAACATAACAAAATCTTCTGTGTGCCCACCATGCTTTGAGCCATAATGCAAGGTGCCATGGGTATCACAGCGTCACTGATATGAGCACTATCTAAGTAAACAATGATGAATTCACTTCTGTTCTGATCTGATTTTGCTGATTTTGTTTTACTGATTTCTTTGTTGTTTCTTGGATAGACTCGGCCACCATACTATGGGGCTTGGATCGGTGCCTACCAAACAACACCAGGTTCAACCGGACGTTTCATTTGGTCCGATGGATCCCGTCTAGACTTCGAGCAATGGGTGACTGGTCAGCCCGACAACGCCGGTAACAACGAGGACTGCGGCCATTTGTGGCGTAGGAACGCAGGAGATGATATCCTCCAGGGTTGGAACGACCTTCCCTGTGAATTGAACATGCCTTTCATTTGTAAGGTGGCCCCAAACTAGATATCCTTATTCGGTTGTACTCTGAATTCGAAGCTTCCTTGTTATATCTCTAATTTCAATTTTAAATTCATTGACAAATTTCTTGAAAACCTTGTAAACTAGTAGTGCTAGCAGTGTAGATTTAACAAACTTGGTTTTTTTTCCATACTCCATAAAGTCAGTCTTTTTCGTCTTTGCTTAATTGCACGAGAAAAATTGACAGTGTGGGAGAATTTTACATATAATTTTCTATTTATTTTGGTATACGAACTGCACCACAATATTAAGCGATGAGGGCTCTTTCAAAAATACCTCCGTATTAACCAACCGCGGCTTCGGGGGTGTGTATAGGCACTTAAAGCCCTTTAAAATACATGTTTAAAGTACGTTTCTGGAGGCAATTGGGAAATGTTGATTACAAAGTATTTGAGAATTACTGCATACGTTGAAGTTATGGAATCGTCAAAATGATGGAAAAAGAGACTCGATTTTGGTCACGTTGAGTGCTCACATAAATGTGTATATGGGACACGCACGTTTGGCAAGAAAGTTTGGTTCAATATTGTCAGCTATTTCTCCTGATTGTTGTAATATTTGAAGGTATTCGCAAAGCACTTCATTTTAGAGGACTTTTTTGCCATGATATTATTCAAATTAAATGAAAAGTAATGCATTAAAGAGAATGAGACAAAGTCAAATTCTGATCCCTGTACCAGCTAGCACTCAGCCTTCTCTTTGCGAGCGAGTGCAATGTCAATAAGGTGCTAGGTTAAGATACTTTTAATTGTTTTTCGACTTTTGTTATGGTTCTGGTATTCTAGACATTTACCTTAGCGTCTGTAGATAAGAGTGAAAACTCACCGTCGTTTGTTTTTACAAGATAGAATATCTTTGCTGTAGAAATCTACAAAAATATGATCAGATAAATTGAGCTCCTTTGAATAAAAGATATGTTATCTAGAAATAAGATGCCACTTAATATATCTTTCATCATCTCTTTCTTTGTTTTGTAGTGCTTCCTTTCTTTTTTTCGCATTTACTGCAACTTGTTTCCTTTCTACTGTTCGACTTAAGCCAACTTTATCTTATTGTCTTATATCTGGAGTAAATAAATTACAGGACATATCTAGCAATATTTGCTTGTGTTTGCTTGCTTGTTCTTATTTACGGTTAATATTAAGGTTAACAAGAGTGAGGCTATTTATGAGGACTGAGTATAAAGAAAGAGATGTAAAAAATGAATTGGATACATGTATTTTGCTTGTGTACTTTGTCAAGTAATCTTTCGGTCATCATAAGTTTCATGTTCCCTGCACGATTCACCTTTTTCGGACCTGATATAATGCGTTTAGGACTAAAGACTGCTTTTGAATATAATCTTGACAATCATATGAATTTCAAGCTAAAGTAATTCGTTGTTATGGGAGCCATGACATGCATACTATACCCATCGTTCCTAGGGACCCCGTGCAGGGCCCTGCTCTTATACCGAATCCGTAAAGACAGAAGTGGAACCCGCTTTGTTGTAATGGGCGTTTACCAATCTGGCAAGCGTGTGTGAACAATATTAAACGAAATTTTCCCTCTTTGACTATGAGTAAAATTCAATAGGAATAAAAGCTTTTATTAGTCTGGATAAGTTACCTTAAATACCTAGAATACGAAGGCCGTCTCCAGATACCCATGCCTTGAGCCATAATGCATGGCTGCCCAGAGGATTTTGTTATGTTGGGGACCGGGGTAAAATGCAATACATGAAATTTATTGCATTTTCTGTTTTTTATTTTATTTATGGAAACTGCCACCTATCCTAGCCCCCGCTTGCGTACAGGCATGGCTCAGTGACAAAGCAATGGCCTCGTAACTGTGAGGCCCCAGGATCAAAACGGTGTCCATGTGCTATTTTAGTGCCCTTTTATGGGGCATTAATCCTCATTACTGTCATTTATGACTTAAGGGCGAAGGTCCCCTAGTTGATAAGCATAGTAGCATACACATGCTTTAGCAGTCACGCAAAACACACAACGGCAAATTTTTATTCAATAAAATCTGAGAATGTATACTATTATCTAGATCTATTATTTTTAAATTATTTTAAAAATAATTCCATAAATTGGGGTAAAACAAAAATATTCCAACTACACTGTTGGTCATAATGGTGGAATAGTTATTTTTACCCCAATTTATGGAATGATTTTGACAATTGTTTATTTCTAATAGATCTAAATTATTAATTCTCAGATTTTATTGAATAATAATTTGAGAGTGTTTGTTTTGCGTGACTGCTAAAATATGTGTGTGCTACTATGCTACCTAACTAGGGGACCTACGTCCTTAAGTCATAACTGACAGTAATGAGGATTAATGCCTCACAAAAGGGCACTAATATAGTTATAACTAACTAATACGATTTTTATTCTGGGGCCTCACAGTAACGAAGCCATTGCTTAGCCAATGAATCATGACTGTACGCAGCGGGGGCTAGGGTCCGTCGCCGCCCCACAAATACAAAAAAAACGAAGAAAATGCAATAAATTATCAATAATTCATTGCATTTCCCCCGGTCCCCCACAGGAAAAATTCCTCTCTAGGGCCATGCATTATGGTTCAAGGCATGCCCGCATACAGGATTTTTATCCACGTTATAATCATGATTCTTAGCCTGAATCATGAAGATAATATAATGTGGAGTTCGGCCCTGCCCCTGGCCCTGTCTGTGACCCCCTCGCTCTCTCTCTTTCTCTCAAAACAAAATTTGGGCAAAGGAATATTAATAAAGAACATTGCAATCGAAAAATTGCATTTTTCTAAGGCGTCTTTTCCATTCATTTAAAATGTAATAATCTTATTTGCACGGACACTTTATTTAGAACCTCTGCCAAACTGTAGAGAAAAGCGGGAAGGGATCGCTCGATGGGTATCTAAATGCTTGAGATGGCTACCAATATCAAAGAACCCCCATGGACGATTACCCCCCATGGACAATCACCCCCGAGGACAAATTATCCCCCTGAAAATTACCTCCTTGGACAGTCCCACACCCCTACGACGACGATTACCGCCGAAAAACATAATGCTTTTATACAAACCAAATTATTATCAGGGTAGACTTCCCCATTATTGAATAGGGGGGAAAGGGGGAGGGGGGAGGGGGATTATTGTCCATGGTAATAATTGTCGTAGAGGAGATAATCTTCAGGGGGGTAATTGTCCTCGGGATGGTTGTCCTTGGTTGATTTTTTTTTTTTTTTTTTTTTTTTGGGGGGGGGGGGGGGTTAATTGTCCTCGAGGGGTAATTGTCCTCGAGGGAGTAATCTTCCTGGGGGTAATTGTCTTCGGGATGGTTGTCCTTGGTTTATTTGGGGATGGGGTAATAGGCCTCGAGGGGTAATTGTCCTAGAGGAGGTAATCTTCCAAGGGGTAAATGTCCTCGGGGATGGTTGTCCTTTGGTGATAACATTTTACCTTTGGGGGTAATATTCCATGGGGTTATTTTCCTTGTGTGGTAATTTTCCGGGGCGTAAGTATCTAGCTGATATGTGGCCAACTCAGCACAACGGTAATGATTTAAAATGTACATGTGACGTTGTTAATATCAATATTTAACCATAAAAACGAAACTTTGGCCATTTAAGTGATATCCGGTAATAATTAATCTAAATACAAGTACACCTTACATTGATTGGTTGCGCGGGGTTCATGATGTGAAATATGTAAATAGTGGCACTGATGTTTATCATACCCAGACACGTCATGCACGTAGGCCGTAACTATCTGAAACGTGTTGTTATTTTCCGAAATTGTTTTACGACAAGGAGTACGGACAAGTCCCCTGCCCTGGGGATTAGTCACGGGACAATAGTCAATTTTTGATTATTTCATAGGCAGTAAAGCCAACAAGTGAATGCAAGGCAAACCTGTAGGTTGCCTAGACGAAGGTATGTATGTGCACAAATGATCTTTTTTCTGTAATGAGATGAAAATGATTAAAAGGCCAATCTGACGGAGGAAAACCGATTACAGGCAAATACTCGGAAAACAACGAATAATACCCCCTTCACATACACGGATTTTTCTTACGAGTCCTTACGGATCACACAAATTCACGGATCTTTCATGGATCCTTACGATTTGACCACTTTTACGACCGGTTTAAGAGTTATTACGAGCTGTTTGCGGTTTATTACGGATCATTACGAGTTATTACGATGTATTTACGGTAACAGTCCACGATTTGTTACGAGTTGTCACGGATGACTCATGCAACTAACGTGTTAGTTACGTCCTGTTAACGTGTTGTTACGAATAGTTACGAGTAAGTTACGATTATTTACGAGTCCTTACGATTTTGAGCCAAAAAATAAGAACTGAAAATGAAGTGTTCGAATTTGCAGCTTTTATACCTTCCCCAAATCGTAAACAGTTCATAAGCATACGTAAAGTATACGTATCCATTCGTAGAGTACTCGTAACTACACGTAAAATGCTCGTAATACCCTGTATCAATCCGTAAAGCCATCGTAAAATGGCCCTAATAAAATCGTAAACAACACGTAAGCACCCGCAACCATCCGTAAACTACTCGCAATCATCCGTAAATAATCCGTAAACAAATCGTAAACTAACCGTAACAAATCGTTACAAAAATCTGTTACGAGTCATTTACGGATTCTTGCGAGCAGTTTACGGATGGTTAGGTGTTGTTGCGAGTTGTGACGAGTTATTTACGGATACCAGCGAGTTATTAACGGATGCTTGCGATTGACTACGAGTTGGCGATCCGTAAGGACTCGTAAGAAAAATCCGTGTATGTGAAGGGGGTATAACGCAAACTATATATATATATGGACCTCATCGTTCAGTGCGTTGTAGTGTATTAACAAAGTACAATGAAAATAATAATGCTGTTAATATATTTATTTCATAATTTTGTCATTTGGAAGGATCTTTACTAGACAAATCCTTTTTTGGCTTTTGAAGAAAATTTTACCATAACATTATTTTCCAAAGTCCATGTCGACAAGAGGTTGACTTCAAAGGATATTACACTTTCCTCTTGTGCACACTGGGTGCCATTAAACGTAGCCTTTTGACAAGGCCTCGTGACTCTGGCTATTTTCCACCCCAATCAGCGACTGACATGAATCTAGAGACACGGGGTGACCGCGCGATTGTGTGGCTTTTGCCGCGAGGCCTTTTGGATTCTGGCTTTTACTGCTTGCATGAATTATTCATGACTTTGGACTTTTAATATTGACCAATCAGAATGGCCATCTCCCAGTTAATTTCAGTCTTGATTCATTCAATATCAAAACATGTAACAAAAGGTAAAAGACGTAATCTAGTTTGGCTCATGAGATGAACGTAATAATGATTGATACAAAATATCACATCCACATCTTTTCTACATGCAAAATTACAATAAAATAGGAAGCATTTAATGACTTGAGCTAACAATTGTAGGTGAGATTATTGGACTTTCCTTGTATATAAAATGAACCAGTCCAACTCGTTTCGTTCAATGTTATAGGTATTCGTACTACCAAAGAGAATCTCTTGCGATGATACAATCGGTGATTGACGCTACCATTTCGGTAAAGAATTCCAGCCGAAAAAAGGGTTAACATAAGAAATCCAAACCAGGTTACTAAAGGCCACTTGGTTTGGCCACTCGCTCCGGCGTTCACTTTGGTTTTCGCGATTAGTCTCTTTTTAGTCGCTCGGTGTCTATCAGACGCGATGCCTTGTCTGAAGGCTACATTAAACGTTGAACACCCCTATTCAGTCACCGTTATTTCCTGTTTTATATTAAAGTATTTGCCTGCACTCGGTTTTCCAAAGTTGCGTCTGATTGGAGGTGTAGACAGATTTTTCAAGGTATAGGTGATATGGGTGAGTCAGCTGATATGTGGCCTACTCAACACATAGGTAAACAGCGTCATGATTTAAAGTCATGTGACGCTGTCAATGTCAATATTTAACCATAAAAACAAAACTTTGGCCATATAATAAGTTAAGTGATATCCAGTAATAATCACTCTGCAAACAACTACATCTTACAGTGATTGGTTGCGCGGGGTTCATGATGTAAAATATGTAACTTGTGGCACTGAAACCCGTTTGATGTTTATCACCCAGACACCTCATGCACGTAGGCCGTCACTATCTGAAACGTTTGTTATGTTCCGAAATTGTCTAACGACAAGGAGTACGGACAAGTCCCCTGCCCTGTGGATTAGTCACGGGACAATAATCAATTTTTGATTAATTCATAGGCAGTAAAGCCAACAAGTGAATGCAAGGCAAACATTTGGGTAACCTAGAGGAAGGTATGTATATGCACAAATGATTTGTTTTCTGTAATGAGATGAAAATGATTAAAAGGCCAATCTGACGGAGGAAAACCGATTACAGGCAAATACTCTGAAAACAACGAATAACGCAGAGTAACTATAATGACCTCATCGTTCATTGCGTGGCAGTGTGTACAAAAGGAACTAGGTAAATCTTCCAAAGTCAACATGCTGATGATATATGTATACCTTTTTAAATAATGCTGTTAATATGTTTATTTGATCTTTAACTGACCAATCCTAAATGTCTTTTAAAGATAACATTATTTTCCAAAAGTCTATTTCGACAATAGGTTTACTTCAAAAGATATTTCCCCTTCCTCTTGTGCACACTGAGTCGCACTATTTAAACGTTGAACACGCTCTTTTTACTCACCGTTGTTTGCTGTTTTCTTAGTATTTGCCTGTACTCGGTTTTCCAAAGATGGAGATGTAGACGGATTTTTTAAGTTATAGGTTGTACCGTGGTATCGATATAAAGGTGTAAATGGAAGGGGCTCCCTCCAAATAGAGGTGAAAAAATTAGTATGCAGTTACAAGTAAGTATTTGCACCCCTTCTCCCTCATTCGATGTAATTTTATTTCAAATTTACATAATTAAAACAAAACAGTAATCTTAAATATTGTAATTGGTATATTGTAACTAACAATATTATCCTGTCCGAGTCAGCGATTGGCAGATATTTCAGGAGCGGGAGAAAGCCTAATTTGGTTTCTGAGAACACAATATACTCGTGTTCAGGTGTATTATTACCATAGCAACGGTAACTAAGAGAGAAATATAATTAAAATATGATGAAATTGCATTATCTGACATTACACTACCTATCAAAATATTCATCTGCCTGATGAAAGCATCTACTTCGGATATATTCTATTTTTCATCTCACTATGTTAGCGTTGCTAAGGAGAAGACCACTCTTAGCAACCCAAATTGCTGTGTTAGCTAATATCAAAGTGTCAACTTTAGAGCAATAAACCTGGAATTTGGATAGATTCAAATATGAACCATACTTTATACGGACAATTCTTCAAAAAGTTCCAAGTCAGTAGTCGAACATCATTATTCTTTAAATATGGGGAAACATGTGTTTTGGGGGAAATTCCTTATTTTGTAAAAAAAATTCACATTCATGGCTCGAAGTTGTTCTGCAATTTATGCTTATACGTGTTGAATGTAATATGATTTTGTGGAAAATTTAATTTTCTTATACATGACACCTCACACATGAGGTTACCTTAAAAATTAATTCCCAACATTAATTATAATGTAGCAGGCCGCCCTTTTTACAGCGGAATAATTTCAAGACAGTCCACCTGATACCAACGACATTTTACAACAGTACATGTCTAAAAAACCTAGTTTGCCCCTTAATACTAGGTAAGACTATAGAAAAAATGTGCATTAGATAAACTGGGAATTAGACGGAATGACTATTAGCCTAATTGGTCATTACACCAAATGATAAAAAGACAACATGGTTATTAGAACATGTGGATAGTAGACAGGCTGGGTGTAGACTATATGTGAATATACAGTGTGTCCCGAAAAAAACTATACACTTTTGAAATGGCTGCCGAATAACAAATATATGATTCTAGGGGGAAAAGTTATATACGTATGGAAAGCTCATATACTCAACTTTCATATGACACCAAAAAGTTTGAAAATAATTCATGCTTGGGTGAGCACTGCTCTCTTTTGTAAAGGGTATGGAAATTAGGTTGCGCAGGAATTAGCCTTCCAATTTGTGAGAGGTAAATCCTTTGGAGCTTACAACATTGAGGGTGATATGATACATTCATGATTTGCTGAGTGAATTTCATGGTTTATTAAACCAAACTTTTATGCACGGAACAGGAATTAAATTTTTTATTCAAAGTCACAGATGTAAGAGAATAACAGTTTGTAACATGGAAATTACAACATGTACCATCACCCCATCCTGACTCCCATAAACACACCTGAGTCTACCAGTGAAGTTACAGTGCTACAATAAAAAATGCAATTCCTGTTAAGTCATGCATAAAATGTTAATCCCATAAACCAAACATTTCACTCAGCAAACCCAAACTTATCACAATTGATCATAAATTGGTCATATCATCCTCAATTCCGTAAGCTCCAAAGGATTTACCTCTCACAAATTGGAAGGCTAATTCCTGCGCAACCAAATTTTCATACCCTTTACAAAAGTGAGCAGTGCTCACCCGAGCATGAATTATTTTCGCAACTTTTTGGTGTCATATGAAAGCTGAGTATATGAGCTTTCCATACATATATAACTTCCCCCCCTAGAATCATATATTTGTTATTCGGCAGCCATTTCAAAAGTGTATAGTTTTTTTCGGGACACACTGTATTAACTGGGTAATAGTAACTTGTAAGGTGATACGGTACCCTTAAGCTTTCTCCTTCTCAGTATGACTCTGCGGACGTTGAGGGATTTGCTTTTACATTGCTAGGTGCTTAAAGGTTTGGGTCCAAAATTCCTTGCGAAGAGGTGGTACCAAACAAATTTAACCCTTTTTTCGGGGGGGGGGGGTGGGAGGGGGCTAACGTATTATAACGCACTTATTGCACGCCAGATAGAACATACATGATTTAGTGGTTCTTGGATGAAAATTAGAGTCGCTAATTTGGAATAGTTTCTCACTCTTCTTCTTTGATTCTCCAGTAATCAACATGAAGCTTCTGCTCGCATCAATGGTCTTTCTAGCCGTGGCATTTCGCGGCTTAGATGCCAATGTGTATCGTCCATGCCCTCAGTTCTGGCTTTCATTTAACGGGAACTGCTACCGTTACTTCGGGGAGCGGGTCACTTGGGAAGCGGCTCGGGATCGCTGCAGGGATCACTACTCCTTCAACGGACGGGCTGACTTAGTATCCATCCACACGGAACAGGAGAATGCCTTCGCTTACGAACTTCTCCGCTCTTCTGCAGACTTTACAACGGATACTGTAAATATGGATGACCTACTTTAGCTTAGACTGTTAATTAAAAGGAAATCTAACCTTGGTAGCAAACTGCTCTACAAGAAATCACGATAATCAGAGAAGCACACTGGTGGAAGTTTGAAAGAAATCGGACAAAAATTGAGACAGTTATGAATTTTAAAATTTACATTATCGGTACTATCGGCATGGGTTATACAAATTGGCTGAATCGGTATTTAGTGTCTATGTGATGCAGTAACGGACAACTTTCCCTCTTGTGCCAACATACAAAATAACTGAAATTTCAATTTTTGAAAAATAAATGACTTGGGATGATCTTCTCTTTTTAGAGGACCTTTAAATACTGTTCTCTCCATAATATATTTTGACTGGTGCCCAAAGGGTGAAGGCACATGGGTGAAAAACAGAAATCAGTGATACGTTTGTACACAACAAATGAAAGACTTATCCGTCACTACCGTGTGAGTAAAAAAAAGTCTAGGCCTACACCTATAATATTGCTAATTATTTTAGAAATCATCTATGAACAGTAAATTATTATTCACCTTATGAAAGAGTGTTTTATCCCGAATCATTTTGGTATCATTTTTGTGTGATATGTGTTCACGCTTGGATGAACAGGAGACATTGTTTGCGAGAGTGCGAAAATCGACTTGCGCCAAAGTTGCTTATGTGATGTTTGAATAAAAAAATTGGGATTTGGGTATTAAATCGGTCATTGCAGATCCAAATTACATCCCTAACAAAATTAATCATGCCACACATATCGAATATCGAATATCACATATCAACGAACATTTGTGCGCGCGCGGATGCGTGTGTGTGTGTGTGTGTGTGTGACTTTGCTTCTGCAAAAAGCATATGCAATTAATCTGATTTGATACCCATTAAATTCACTCTCTCACTTTAATCCCAACATATCACATACTGTAGGCATCACTTTGGCGCAAGTCGATTTTTTTGATAGAATGCTCTTTCATAAGATGTATAGTAATATAGTATAGTAATATACTGTTCATAGATGATTTTTTTTTAAATAATTAGCAATTTTCTAGGTGTAAATTTGTGTATTGACTCACACGGTACATCACAATCCACTGACACAATTGACAATTGAGATTCGGATAGCTGTAGTGATCTCATATGTTCATATATTCATAACTTTGTTATTATTGGACCGATATATTTCCAACTTTCGCCATTCTGCTTCTCTGGCTTTTCTGCTTTCATTCAAATTAACGTATTACAAGGGTTGGATTGCCTTTAACAAAAAAAGTTTCCTTGGCATGGCTTAGATAGAAGGGTTAGTTCCGTTTAAAGATAAACTTGAGCTCTGGTAAAAAAAAGAAAATGAATTCTCACAGAATCTAACGAAACTTACACTGAATGTTCAAGATTACAAACAAATGTCATGTGCCTAAAAATTTTGGAAGAAAATGTATACTGGCTGAGTGATGAGCATAGAAAGATAGGGAAATCAAGGTAGTAAAGGATTTCCCGGCCAAATTCGCGAGTTTTTCATTCGAATTCATTTACTTTGCATTTAAGTTAGCGCAGATCAGCTTTGCCATGCCAATTATCATTCAATTTTCCCGATTTTGTATTTAATTTAGGATTTTGGAATTTTAGGATTTTTAATGAAGGATTTCATAGATCTGTCATTCAATTTAGAAACTGCTTAACTAGCATTCAAATTAATCGTCACTTGTCGAGGCGTCAATATTATCATTCAAATTCGCATCTGTCATTCGTATTTGAATTATGTGTATTCAAGTTAGGAATGTTAGGGGAAGAAATGCAACACTCGTTTACATTTTTTTTTTAAATGCAATTAAATGAATGATTTGCCATTAGGGTCTTTTCTGTTATTCCATTTATTAATTTTGAGGACAATGCATATGGGTGTTGTCAGACATTTGGTTAAGAAGGTGCGAAATCAAGGGATATGGGATATGGCATTTCTGCACGGACATGTTCATATACCCCGGAAAAGTGGGAATACAACAATACCTATCCCAGTCACAATATTGTACCCTTTCTCCATAATGAAATTGTGATAAATTTATGATGAAACAAAAGACAAACAACTTCCTTACATGAAAATTTACAAAAATATTAAGACCATCAAGTCCGTAGATGTAAGTCGTTTTTTTTTCTTTCTTAACAATTTAACTTAAAGGATGATGAATATCAGATAAATCTAAAAGTATATAAAGTGTATAAATGCAAGAAAATAGAATATGATGAAATACACATGGAAAAACAATCTTGAAAGAAAAAGAATGAGCTATAACAAGTGTGTAATAAACGAGAAATGTATATTGACCATCAATTTTAGTGCACAAAGTGCTAATTTGAATGCTACAAATGAATTATAATGCTAGAAGTACACCGTCGCGTTGTCAGAAAATCGTGTTGCGCCAAATCGAATGACCAAATAGCGAAAGAAGCACACATTGTTCATTAATTTGAATGAAACATACGTAGATTCTAACGAAAATTCCATAGATTTGAAAACTAGAAAAGGGAATATAAACCCGAGATATACCTGACTGCACTTATACCGTCGAATTTGAACGCACGACAAATTCATTTGAATGACAAACTCGCGAATTTGACCAGGAAATCTTATAGTAGCGATGTAACATGTAAAGGGTAAAAATACATTAGGTTTATTAGCTATATAGTGATACACAGTTTAAGTAGGAGCATATCTGAGTAAGAGAGAGAGAGAGAGTGAGAGAGATAGAGAGATAGAGGGGAGAGGGTGTAAAGAGAGCGGTATAGAGAGATAATGAGAGAGAAAGAAAGAGAAACAAATGCAGAGAGAAAGAGGGGAGAGAGAAAAACAGGGGCTGACTTAGTACATGTAGAATATTTAAGATTTTAGTACGAGGGTTCTCTGGCAATATATATACATATACACACTGTGTATATGTGATTTCTTTTTAATTGGATAAATAACATAAAATCACTTCAAGTAAAGGCTCTTTTATAGTGACAAAGCAGTAAACACTTTGATGTGCCTTTTAATATGATTAGTTAATAATGACGGATAATTCCAGTGAAAAATAACTTACAAGTAGTATTTCAACACATGAAACGTAAGAAGGAGAAGGGGCACGTAACCCCCCCCCTCCCCCATCGAATTAGGGGGGAAAAGAAAGAAAGAGCAAATAGAGAGAGGGGGAAGGGGATAGGGGGAGGGGGAGAGAAAGAGAGAAAGAAGAAGAGAGAGATAGAAAGAAAGAGGTAAAGAGAGAAACAGGTTGCAGGGAAGGGAGAGTAGATGAAAGGGTGAAATGGCGAATATAAATCGTCCTCAGAATTTATTAAAATTCGTGACACTACAACGGCATATTGTTCTATTCATTTGAACCGTCAAGAGTGTTGTTTTCTTTTCCAATGTCCCACCATGCTAATGTTATAGATTACGGGGAACGGCGTTCGGAAGCCAGCCCTGCACTGATGTTCTTTGGCAAGACATTAATCTATAGTTGCCACTCTCCATTCGGTTATTAATGGGTAGTGAGCCCTGGTTACGTTGGCGGCTAGGCTATAACCAGGGTCACTGGCGTACTGGTGGGGGGGGGGGGGGGGGGCTAGGGGGGGGGGGGGCGCCAGCCCCCCAAATAAAATGAAACCATGACTTATTTTTAATTCTATACAGGTGATTTATAAATGTTCGTGATAATAACATGATTTTCAACAAAATGTGCGTTTTTCCATTTCTGTTGCAAACTGACACATTCGCAATGTTTTTAATAGTTACTAATGGGCATTAGTGGCCACTAATAGTAACAGTAGTAGAAACCTTTTCAGAAGCTATACTGCGACAAGCACTGCCGGGAGATAACATGCTACCCACCACTCGGGCTGTGCATGCACAGATTCCATATACGTACATGTACATCGTCAGGCTCAGTGGGGAAACTGAATCCAGACAAGGCTTAACGGTATAACGAATCGCCTTTTTTCTCTAATAATTTAATTAAACGTGAAAGCTTCCGTATGAGCGAAAATGATTTTAGTAATAATTAAATGAAACGTCAAAGCTTCCGCGCTTTGCGCGGAAAGTCGGGGGGGGGGGGGGACTGACTTCAGACAAGGACACGATACAACGATACTACGCGCTGTATGAGCGAAAATGATTTTAGACAAGGATAAAGAGTAATAATTAAATGAAACGTAAAAGCTTCCGCACTACGCGCGATATGAGCGAAAATGATTTTAGACAAGGATTAAGAGTAATAATTAAATGAAACGTCAAAGGGGGACGGGGGGGGGGGGACTGAATTCAGACAAGGAAATGCTAAAATCAATCGTCTATTTTCTCTAATAATTGAATGAAACGTGATAGCTTCCGCGCTTTGATCAGGAGGGGGGGGGGGGGGGGGACTGCATTCAGACAAGGACACGGTACAACGAATCGCCATCTTTCTCTAATAAACGTGAAAGCTTCCGCGCTTCCCGCGGGAGGGGGGGAACTGAATTCACACAATTAGGACACGATACAATGAACCATCTTCTTTCTCTAATAATTTAATGAAACGTGATAGCTTCTGCGCTTCGCGCGGGATGGGCGAAAATGAATTCAGACAAGGATTAAGAATAACGTCAAAGCTTCCGCGCTTCGCGCGGGAGGGGGGGGGGGGGGGTGGGAGAACTGAATTCAGACAAGGGGACGATACAACGAATCGTCATCTTTCTCTAATAATTTGATGAAACGTGAAAGCTTCCGCGCTTCCCGCGGGATGAGCGAAATTGAATTCAGACAAGGATTAAGAGTAATAATTTATTGAAACGTCAAAGCTTCCACGGATCGCGCGGGAGGGGGCGAACTGAATTCAGGCAAGGATTAAGAGTCGAGAACGGTACAATGAATCGTCTCCTTACTCTAATAATTTGATGAAGTGTCACAGCTTCCGCGCTTCGCGCGGGGGGGGGGGGAACTGAAAAATAACTTAGTTCCTGGCCCCGGGTTTATAGGCTTAAATTAGTAGACATTGGGGCATTGGTGTTAATATATTTGTCGGTAATTGGTGGCTAGTTTTGTCAGTATAGCGGTGGCCTCTACAACCCTTCCCCCCCCCCCCTGAACGTCTAACCAATCAGAAGGCTTCTTTTTTCCAGGAAGTGCCGGTGGACATTAATGCGCGAAATATGGTTCTCAAATTGCAAAAGATCTCTTGGAGGGGGTAGGAGAAAGCAATTTTACGTCATATTACTCCAGGAAGTGCCTGAAAATGCGTCTAAAGTGGTTCTAAAATTGCAAATGATTCCTACTAAGGGAGGGGGTCAGAACCCCCTCCCAGACCCACCCCCGCTTGGTCGCTCCGCTCCCTCGCCGCTAAAGCCTCGCTCTGTCGCTTTATCGTTTTATATATATTTAACCCCTTGCCATTTTGTGCCCCCCCCGGTAAGAAATTCCTGGAACCGCCACTGTTTTCCCATACCCCTTGAGCTTCGGGGCTCCGCCCCTTGATCCCCGCCGGGGCTTTACCCCTAGACCTCACTTTGACAAACGTTCAGCCCCCCCCCCCCAACGTTTTTGCTCATTACGCCACTGACCAGGGTAATAATGTATAAGTGCCATGAGTAACAAGGCGCCACGGATATGAGCGCTATACAGTGCGACCCCGAAAAAACGAAACCGAGAATTATCTATGTTTTTTCATAACTTAATCACAATTATAATAAAAAAAAATGACACATCTTTATAAAGCTTAGATCCTCTTCTTTCATTTAATACAAATCATATGATGCATATTTCACGCATGAGTGTTTAAAGGCACACTATCATACTTGTAGCTTCTTGCCCCAATCGGTGCCTGTTGGTCCCCATGATCCTCTTTTTCTTATGTTAAATGAGAGCTGAGTTAATGAGATAGCCACCTGTCACAGTGTCCTCGCTGGCTCGCTGGGCGGTCTAATCCCTTCTGGCTGAAGTAGTAAACCTGCCTTTAAAAGCAATTTGAAGGAAGGAAACCAAAAAGTCACATTTCCAGAAAGTTCATTTTCTGCTCTTTCATATGATACCTCAATCAGGAAAAAATAAGCCAGGAATAACAAAGTTCTGTTTGTTTAAAGTGATGCTTGCATTTCTATAATTTGGTTTTACAAGTTCTTTTTCACTGGCTGCCTGCCGTAGCAACAAGCAGAATCGACAAAAGACTTAACCCCGTTTCATTGACAATCAGCCATGCATGAAGCCTTCGTCTATGTCTCACCGACAACGAGACGGAGTTAAAGTAGATATTCTTTGATTTTAAAAACTAACTTTATTTTCATTATTGCAAAGTTGAAACTTTGATTCGACAAGGTTATCAAAATTCAATGCTTGGAAACATTCTGTAATGATTATTATAAATTACAAAACGCTTAAATACAGCCCCGGCATAGCACATGAAGAGCTCTCCGAACGCTGCTGAGATGTGTGAGATCACAGTATGGACATGATTTCCACAACCAGACGATGTCCCATGACATCTCACACATTTTCAGTTCCTGTGTTTTCATCTTCTCTTGAGTTCTTTCTCTTACTTCACTACCGTCAGGCTAAATATATAATATATTGCCTCACTCTAAACACCGCGCATGGTTTTATTTTGATGACAAATGTAGCGATACAAAAATAAGGGAATATATCGCTTGTAAACAAAATAAAAAGCCATTGTATATTCAGCTGCACACACCGCGGTATGTTCGTCGTTTCAAGAGGGAACAAATGCCGTCCTTAATATCATTCCGTTTTTTTTGTTTTCAATTTGAAAGTCTGGTTTCTTTGATTATTTATTACCACCTATCCTGTGTATTTACAAGCAAAAGATTTTAGTTATCGGAATCGGGTCATATCTCTTTTTGAATGGTTTGACATGCCTTTTTAATTTATATGCACTAAACTCATCATAATTTGACAAATAATAGCTTAGCAATTATGTTCATTGTTTATGGGATGTCGTCTGCTTGGGCAGTATTGATCCATATTGTGACGTCATTAACACATCGTTATTTTTCTGGCGAATCTCTCGTATATCCCAGCTGCTATGGTGGTGGTTGTATTTGTATTTTTATAAATCATCCGTTATGTAGTTGACCTAAAACTTGTACGATGGCCAACTATTAGCTTACCAGTTTCTAGTGATACATTAGTTGATATATTTGTGATTTTCTTTGAATTTCACCTGTAAGTCTTTTGTCAATGGTGTTTGTTGCTACGGCCGGCAGCCAATGAAAACGAATTCGTTTGATCAAATTATGGAAATTGAAGCATCACTTTAAACAAACAGAACTTTGTTATTCCTGGCTAATTTTCTCCTGATTGAGGTGTCATATGAAAGAACAGAAAATGAACTTTCGAGAAATGTGAATTTTTCTTCGAAATTCAAATACAGTCCGCCAAATGATTTGTTGGTTTCCTTCCTTCAAATTGCTTTTAATCACTCATGCGTGAAATATACAACATATGAGTTGCATAAAATGAAAGAAGAGGATGTAAGCTTCAGAAATGTGTGTCATTTATTAATTATAATTGTGATTAAGTTATGATAAAACATCGATAATTCTCGGTTTCGTTTTTTTCTGGGTCGCACTGTATAAGAAACCATTATTACTTGCAGTTCATAAACAATAGTTCATTCACTTTTCTTCTGATCTAAACCTTTCTTCTGATCTGATTGTAATGATTTTTTTTATTACTGATTTTGGTGTTGTTGTCCTGGACAGATTGCTTGGATTGGTGCCTACCAGTCAATACAAGACGGACCTTTCATTTGGTCTGATGGATCTGGTCTAAACTTCGAGCGGTGGTTCCCGGGTGAGCCTTCCAACAGTGGTAACATTGAGGACTGCGTCCATTTGTGGCGGAGGAACGCAGGAGATGATATCCTCCAGTCCTGGAACGACACGCCCTGTGGAAGTGACAAGCCTTTCATTTGTAAGGTGGCCCCAAATTAGAAATCCGAATTCGGCTGTATCCTGAATTCGAAGATTCCTTGATATATCTGTATGGATTATACCATAATTTGAATTCTTTGAAAAAATTCTTGAAAACCTTGGAAACTCGTAGTGCTAGCAGCATAGATTGACTAATTAGGGCTATTATAACGTTCAGAGGGTGCGGCATGCATTACCAATTCTTTTTTTTACAGTCCATTAGTCATTCTTTTGTGTTTTCGCTTTATTGTAAGAGAAAAATTGACAGTTTGGGAGAAGTTTACATTTAGTTTTCTTTCTAGTTTAGTATACAAAATCCGTCACATTGTTAAACTGTTTAAATTCTCCTTTACAGATCACGCTGTATTAACCAACCGTTTTTTTTTTTGTTTTTTTGTTTTTGTTTTTTTTTTTGGGGGGGGGGGGGGGTGGGGTGTATAGGCTCTTCAAGCCCTTTAAAATACATGTTTAAAGTACATTTCTGGAGGCAATTGGATAGGTTGATTACAAAGTATTTAAGAATTGCTGTATACGCTGAGGTTATACACTGTTGGTCATAATGGTGGAATATTTATTTTTTACCCCAGTTTAGGGAAGGATTTTTAAAAATTATTTATTTCTAATAGATCTAAATAATGGCATACATTCTCAGATTTTATTGAATATTAAATTGCGAGTGTTTGTTTTGCGTGACTGCTATATCATATGTGTGCTACTATGCTAATCAGCTAGGGAACCTACGTCCTTAAATCATAATTGACAGTAATGAGGATTAATGCCTCACAAAAGGGCACTAATATAGCTGATCAGCACGATTTTTATCCTGGGGCCTCACAGTAACGAGGCTATTGCTTAGCCCCTGAATCATGACTGTACGCAGTGTTTGCTAGGGTACGCGGCCCCTTCCACAAATCCCCCAAAACGAAGAAAATGCAATAAATTGTCAAAAATTCATTGCATTTTCCCCCGGCCCCCTACAGGAAAAATTCCTCTGTGTGGCCATGCCTTGAACCATAATGCATGGCCCTACAGAGGAATTTTTCCTGTAGGGGGCCGGGGGAAAATGCAATGAATTTTTGACAATTTATTGCATTTTCTTCGTTTTGGGGGATTTGTGGAAGGGGCCGCGTACCCTAGCAAACACTGCGTACAGTCATGATTCAGGGGCTAAGCAGTGGCCTCGTTACTGTGAGGCCCCAGGATAAAAATCGTATCGATCAGCTATATATTAGTGCCCTTTTGTGAGGCATTAATCCTCATTACTGTCAATTATGACTTAAGGACGTAGGTCCCTTAGCTGATTAGCATAGTAGCACACATATGATTAAGCAGTCACGCAAAACAAACACTCGCAAATTAATATTCAATAAAATCTGAGAATGTATGCCATTATTTAGATCTATTAGAAATAAATAATTTTTAAAAATCCTTCCCTAAACTGGGGTAAAAATAAATATTCCACCATTATGACCAACAGTGTATAATCATCAAAATGATGGAAAAGGATATGCAATCTTAGTCACGTTCAGTGTTTACAGTATTGAGTATATGGAACACACACGTGTGGCTTGAAAGTTTATTCCAACACTTTTAGCTATTTCTCTTTTTATTTCAGATTTGAAGGCAATTGCAGAGCAATTCATTTCAGAGGACATTTTTGCCGTAATATTATTTAAACTAAACCAAAAGTAACACATTTAAAAGAAAGAGAAAAACACAAAATTCTCATCCCTGTACCAGCTCTCAGCCTTCTCGCCACGAGTGAGCGCAATGTCAATTTTAAGAAGGATACTTTTAATTGGTTTTAGACTTTTGTCATGTTTTGACATTTACCTTAGCATATGGAGATGCTAGTGAAATTTAGACTCGCCGGTTTTTGAAATAAAATAAATTTGATGTGGAAATCTACAAAATATGATCAGATAAATTTTGCTCTTTTAAATTGAAGATATGTTATTTAAAAAGGCGAACTATTATTATATGCCACTGAATATTTGTTTCATCATCTCTATCTTCCTTTTGTGTGTTTTCTTTCCTTTTCTTCTAGCATTTACTGCAACGTATTTCCTTTTTATACTGTTCGACTAAGCTAACTTCATTTTATGCTGTTATAGCTGGAGTAAATGAATTACAGGCCATATCTAACAATATTTGTTTGTTTGTTTGTTTGTTTTTATTTTCGACCTTGTTCAAGGTTAACATGAGTTAGTCTAGTCATGAGGACTAAGTATAAAGAGAGCAGTGGCGTACGCAGGATTTTTTCAAGGGGGGGGGGTTTACAATTTTGAAATCGGGTTGAAAATTTCGCAACGACTCAGCCAGCAGCTGAATAAGCGGGGGGGGGGGGAAACCAAAGGGGGGGTTAGGTGGGTTTTAGGGGGGTTTACACACATAAAAATACCAAAGGAGGGGGGTTCAACCCCCTCCCCACCCCCCCCCCCCCCCCCCCCCCCCCTGCGTACGCGCCTGCAAGAGAGGGATGTATAAAATCGATCGGATACATTTATTTCGTCTGTGTACGAGAGCATTTGTCAAGTAATCTATGGGTCAACTTAAATTCGATGTTCCCTGCATGATTCACTTATTTCGGACTTGATTTCATGCGATTTCATGCGACTAAAGACTTCCTTTAAACTAGATATTTACTATCATAAAAACTTCAAGCGAAATTTTTTTGTTTGTTATGGGAGCCAAGACCTGCATATTATACCCATCGTTCCCTAGTACCCCGGAAGGGCTCTGCCCCTGGACCCCATCCGTAAAAACAGAAGTGGATCACAAGACAAAAAATTGATGTATAAAGTTATCTTTAGAGAGAGAGAGAGAGAGAGAGAGAGTGAGAGAGAGTGCGTGTGTGTGTTTTTTTTATCAAGACGGCTTCTTGAAGGTTCTGATAATGCCGAAGTGATACAACTCGAGAGTTTTCAGGGGCTAACCACCCCTCCCCCCCCCCCCCTCCAGGTCCACACGGGGACTCTGTCACTGCACAATGAGAAGGGCTCACTCTTACTCGTTCACAGTGCGCTTTGCGTATACGTTTGCTTCGTCACCCCTCCCCCTTTTTTGTTGAAAGTCCTGGATCCGGCACTGCAGAGGTGAATAGACATACACGTATGCCATGACATAAGTAAGTAGGAGAAGAACTTGCAACATACCAAGGAAAATTCCTCCATTTTGAAATAATGGGCGTTTATCAATCTGGCAAGCATTTGTGAACAATAATGACATTTTCCCTTTTGACTGGGAGCAGGCGCGTACGCAGGGGGGGGGGGGGGCTGGGGTTTGGGGGTTGAACCCCCCTTTGGTATTTTTATGTGTGTAAACCCCCCCCCCCCCCTTTGGATTTTTTTTTTTTTTTTTAATAATAAAAAAAAAAAATAGAATAACAAAAATTATGCCCATGGCTGACCTTAAAAAGGTGACCTTACCCCCCCCCCTCCCAACAAAGAAAAATGTCAATTTTCAAATTTTTAGATAAAAAACAAACAAACAGTCTTTCCTTGGACTTCGAAGGGCAAATAAATCTTGTCTTTTTTTTACCTAATGGGCATTTCACGACTTGGGCGACCAGGCTAACTATTGTCAATCAACTTTCACTACAACTAAGGTCTAATAACATCAACAGAAATCTAAATTCTAAATTATATTGCCTAAAAATACACTGCTATAACTAAACTAGTCCACAATTTGGCATATTTAATTTTGATCTCCACCACACCAACGCCGCGACATCCGCCTACATACTTGCTGTTAGCCGAAGGATGAGTGATCATTAAATTAGGACTCCCAGCGAAAAAAAAAACAGGGCTGGTGAGCGTTTAATAATTTCCTTTGTAGGTAGGCCTACCCCTTTTTTTTCTTCCAGAAAGTGACTCGTCTATTTTTGCTTTGAGATTTTCATTGGTAGGTAGGGCTACCCCTTTTTTCTTCCAGAAAGTGACCTTTTAGTTCATCCCCCCACTTTGAAAAAGCCATCCACCGCCCCTGTTCTGTGTACAGGAATTTAAATGGCCTATCTAACCGAAACGGCTAAAAAAATGAAGTAACAAAAGACATGTAGAATAATTTTTGATGGAGATCCCGGACATGACAATGATTTTTCTTAGAAATCATCAATAATTCTGGAATCTAGCCTTAAAAATGACGGCTCAGAACGCTCAGAAAAAAAGCCCAGTTTCGAAGATGTACTGTGCAACTGTTTACAACGTCACTGCAGGAGTCTCTCCGGTGAAAAGGAGGATGACTTAGATATTAAAGGTCTTCAAAAAGGCAAACTATGATATTAATTGGGAAAAACAAGACATTTATCCCAAACATTATATGCACTTGATAATCCCAGTACGTTTCATTTATGGATTACAATGAGATTGTAAGATCCTTAGTTGTAGGACCACTCGGATATGCCCGCAATAACGTCGAATGCGTCATCAAGACCACGTGACCGTATTACCTTTTTCGAAGGGCGTAACCCAGCAAGCGTGAGAACTGTGAAAAATGGATGGTTATTATCATTTTTTTTGTCAATACAGAAATTTTCTGAAAGAAATACAAAATGGAAACACTGGTAAAAAGAAATTTGTCTCAGGGGTGGTTGAGCATCTTCATCCTTTTATCAATCACAAGTGCCACAATGCTGTAACAAAATGTTCGGATCCAATTGACAAATCCAAGGATATCAGTAGCATATACTATTATCAGATATTCTGTTTTGTCACAGACTGATAATACTTTTGATGGAACAGGGACCAAATTCAAATCATTTTATTTGCAAAGTGCAACAGTGCCTATCGATTGTCATATTCTTTTCATCTTGCTTGCCATTCTGTTGCACATGTATGCCTGCATAATGTGAGTTACATTTGAAACAGTTCATGCATACCACTGCCAAATGCGCAGTCATTTGAAGTTGGACTCTATGCGACTCCTCGCCATCTTGACTCGTCTGAAGCTCAAATTATTCTTCCGACAAAGTTTTCATCATCGAAGGGGTTTCTACATTGTCAACGTTCTCTTGAATTCAATACAATTATTACGAAGGTAAGAATAGCAGATGAGGCCTAGATTGGGCGAGATTGTATTGTGTATCGCTTTGATAGAGTATGACAAATGCGGGATTTTAAACACGAAAGTGGGATAAAAATGTAAAAAAGAAAAAAAAAACGAATGTATGTGGGTAGACTATGTAGTTTGGAAGTGTATTTTTCCAAGTTTGTGTGAAAACGTGTTAGAGGCAAACAGATGGACAAAAGTAGGTAATACTAGTTTATGGTGTGGATCAAACGGAATGAAGCAGTATATTTTAGTTCTATTTTGTCTATATAATCTGAGGCTTTAAAGCTAAGTTTGTAGCAGATTCCCTGTTCTCTCCTCCCTTTGCTTGATATCTATCTTTGCTTCTCTCTCTCTCTCTCCCTCTCGTGTGTATACATGTATTTCTGATCATCTCGGTGTCAATGGTTTTACGTATTTATGAGCCTTGTTCTTCAAGATTGTTTGCTTTCCCTTGTAAGGTGGTGCCAAAGTAGAATTCCCAATAAGGCTGTACCCTGAATTCGATGCTTCCTTGTTATATCTGTATGGTTAAGACTACCATTTGAATTATTTGACAACATTCTGAAAGCCTTGTAAACTAGTAGCGCTAGCAGCATAGATTGACTAAGTAGGGCTATCATAACGTGCAGGGGGTGATGCATGGTTGACCGATTCTATTTTCCACAGTCCATTTTGGGAACACAAATTCGGTCCCTCCGACCCCGGAGTGGGAGGGAGGGGGGGGGGGGGCTTTTTCTTTATCTTTTCTCTTCTATTTTCCTTTCTCTTCTTTTTTTCCTTTTTCTTCTCCATTTTTCTCTTCTCCTTCTTTCTTCCTCTTCTCCTTTCTTTTTTTCTCTTCTTTTCTTTCTCTTTTTTTTCTTCCTTTTTTTTGCGCCGCCAATAGGGGGGGGGGGGCCGCGGCCGTTTCGGCCCCCTGGATCCGCCACTTCTGTGGAAATCTACAAAATATGATCAGATTAATTTTGCTCCTTGAATTTGAGGATCTGTTACTTGTAAAGTCGAATTACTGTAAAATACCACTCAACATATATTTCATCACCTCTTTCTATGTTTTTTTTAGTGTTTCCTTCCTTTTTCTTATCACATTTCCTGCTATATGTTTCCTTTCTACAGTTCGACTTAGCCAACTTTATTTTATGCTTTTATAGCTGGAGTGAATGAATTACATGCCATATCTCACAATATTTGTTTAGGTGTTTGTTTGTTTTAATTTGAGATTATCTGCAAGTTTAACATGAGTGATGCTGTCCATGAGCACTAAGTATAAAGACAGGGATGTAAAAAGTGGATTGGATACATGCATTTCTCTTGTGTACGAGAGCAGGCACGTAGCCAGAGTTTGATATTTGGGGGGGGGGCACATACATGTAATCGATCGAGGTCAAAAAAGGGGTCTACAAAATTTCAACCGATCCTGGAAATTATAGGGGGCACGTGCCCCCTCGTGCCCCCCTGGCTACGCGCCTGTACGAGAGCATTTGTCAATTAATCTATGGGTCATAATAAGTTCGATGTTCCCTGTATGAACTTTTTTTTTGGACTACATACCATGTCAGTATTTTGTGTTTTTGCTTCATTACAAGAGACAAACTGACAGTCTGGGAGAAGTTCACATTCAGATTTTCTTTCTAGTTAAGTATACGAAATCCGTCCCATTTTTAAACGGTTAGGCCTCCGTAATAGATCCCGCCGTATTTTTCTTTTGAGGGGGGGGGGGGGGGGGGAGGGGAGGTGTATAGGCACGTCAAGCCCTTTAAAATACATGTTTAAAGAAAATGTCGGGAGGCTATTGGGAAAGGTTAATTACAAAGTATTTGTTAATTGATGTATACGCTGAGGTTATAAAATCATCAAAATAATGGAAAAAGAGATTCGATTTTAGTCACGTTCAGTGCTCACATAAATGGGGATATAGGACATATACATGTGCCTGGAAGTTTGGTTCAATATTTCAGCTATTTCTCGTAATATTTTAGATCTAAAGGCATTTGCAGAGCAACTCATATCAGACGAGAAAATTTGAAAATTGCGCAGACAGTTTTTTCAAGGTCATATTAGAAGCACTATACCGGTACAATTTTTGACATTTTCATCGGGGGGGGGGGGGGGGGGGCTATAGCCTCTAGCCCGAAAAAAATAATTTTCTGGTTTCACAATTCAGTTAGTGAGCGAAGCGAGCGAGCAACAATTTGAGCAAGTATGTATTTTGTGAAAGTGTTATTTATCACCAAAATAAACGAGAAAAGATATCAAAAACTGTCCCCCCCCCATTACGCGCGAAGCGTGGAAGCTTTGACCTTTCTTTAATTATTAGAGAAAGAAGACGATTTGTTGTACCATTCTAGACTCGTATTCCTTGTCTGAATTAAGTTTTCCTCCTCCCGCGCGAGGCGCGGAAGCTTTGACGTTTCCTTAAATAATTAGAGAAAGAAGACGATTCGTTGTAACATTCTCGACTCTTAATCCTCGTTTGAATGCAGTTTTCCCCTCTTGCGCGAAGCGTGGAAGCTTTGACCTTTCTTTAAATTTTAAGAGAAAGAAGACGATTCGTTGTACCATTTTCGACTCTTAATCCTTGTTTGAATTCAGTTTCCTCCCGCCCTCGCGAAGCGCGGAAGCTTTGCCCCTTCATTAATTATTAGAGAAAGAAGATTTGTTGTACCATAATCGACTCTCATGACTTGACTGAATTCAGCCCCACCCCTCCCGCGAGAATCTTTCATATTTTAATGAAATTATTAGAGAAAGAAGATGATTCGTTGTTCCATTCTCGACTCTTAATCCTTCTCTGAATTCAGTTCCCCCTCCTGCGCTTTGCGCGGAAGCTTTGACGTTTCATTAAATTATTAGAGAAAGAAGACGATTCGTTGTACGCGGACACATTTTTTTTTTTTTTTGGTCTCGAAATTTCATAATTTGACATTTTTGGTCGTTGGGGGGGGGGGGGGTAAGGTCACCTTATTTAGGTTAGCCGTGGGTATAATTTTTTTTTTTTATTTATTTATTTTTAAATAATAATAATAAAAAAAAAAAAAAAAAAAACCCAAAGGGGGGGGGGGGGTTTTAGGTTTTTTTAGGGGGGGTTTACGTACATAAAAATACCAAAGGGGGGGGTTTGAACCCCCAAACCCCCCCCCCCCCTGCGTACGCCCCTGGTTGAGCGTATTGAGAGATACGCTTAGTCCTCAATCTGTTCAGCTCACAAATTCCAACCTGGCCTGTCATTGAGAAAAGAAACGGCAAACACAACAAAGGACTAACTATTCCATTAGTAATATTGATTTTTTTTAAAAGTAATTTTGATTTGTGTACAGCGTTTTGAAACTTTTATGTCACAAGCGCTATTTAAATTTTTCGTATTATTATTATTATTATTAAATGTATTTCTGATCAATCAAGAAATTCAACATAAAAATAGTTTTTAATAGAGGGAAGATGGCGTACTTCTTTATTTAAAGCATGTAACTTTTATGCATGGGTTTGATACGCCCTACATCAATACAATATAAACATATAAGACGAAACAGAAGAATAGAAGAAGAAGAAAGGAAAAGAATATGAAGGGAAAAGGAATAAGATCTAGTAAAGTTATGGCTAGCCAGGCGCGTACGCAAGATTTTTTCAAGGGGGGGGGGGGGGGGGTGGGGGGTTTGGGGGGTGCATATGGAAACGTTTGCTTGTATTTGTCTCATAAAAGAAGTTGAACACAAACTGACTCCCACACGGTGTTGAGTGCTCAGGGGTCACAGACCACTGGCATCATCGGGCAGGTAGTTCCATTATGTGAATGGGTAAATTAACTATTACAAAATGAGGGGACACATTACATTGTACAATAGGGACACACATTGTTTTTATTGTGCAGAACATACTCTTTTATTGACTTACTTATTGCATGAAACTATAAAACCAAAATGCATTTTGTATTCTAACAATTGGAGTACAAAGAATGATAGCAGGTGAATGAAATGCATAAACACCACAAACTCCTGGGGAGGAAGCATTCATAAATTTGAATACATATAGTTGATAAACGACTCCGATGAAACTATAAAACCAAAATGAATTTTGCGTTCTGGCAATTGGAGTACACAGAATGATAGCATGTAAATGAAATGCTTCAACAGCAACACAAACACCTAGGAAGCTAGGAAGCATCCATAAATTTGAATAATTTAGTTGATAAACGAATCCGCATGTGGACGTTTGTTGGAGCAGAAAGCAGTGGATTCTTAACAACACGAACCCATTTAACAGAATGTCGGAACGTAAATTAAATTTTGGGGCGGTTGGAAAATGCATCTTAATTCTACCCTGCGACTTTAATGGTACGATCCAGTAAATTAAAACAGTAAAATTACTCATTAAATAAAACCCAAAACTTCAGTGATATCAGAAAAAATATCTTATATCTTACTAATAAATCTAAAAGATATATAAACATTGTGAAAGTGTCGCATTTCACGATAAAATACACCGATTTAGCGAACATGACGTCATTAGTGCGCTTGCATCCCTTGGAATTCAAGGTCAAAAGGTCAATTCAGACGCTGATAAGTGATTGGTCGAGCCTTTTTGTTACCTTTATTCCGACAAAATTATACAATCAATCAAAACAAGTTTAATACCAAAAGAAAGCTAACGATTAGCATTTTCATTAACCGCTTGCCCCAAAGTCGCTTGACCACAGTGAAACGAGTGAGAGCTTGCGTGAGCGGCCAAAGTGTGATTGAAACTCGCTATTTGCTCTTCTCCAACGCAAAAAGAGACGACATTGTGCTGGATAAATGTATTTTTCCGACAAAAGTACAAAAATTTGCATATGGCCTTTTTATATTATACTTTATGAAATGTTACCCGAGTGATTTGCGGGCGCCCCAATGCTGGAAAGAAACGCATATTTTAGAAAACTTCACTTTTTCATGGAAAAATGCTTATTTGTTTTATACACGCAAGTCAGATTGAGCGGATGATACAACGTTTCCATTTGGTCTCGAAATTTGAACATTTGACATTTTGCTCCGTTGGGGGGGGGGGTAAGGTATCCTTTTTTAGGTCAGCCATGGGAATATTTTTTTAATTTTTTTTTTTAAATAATTAAAAAAAAAAAAAAAAAAAAATCCAAAGGGGGGGGGGGGGGGGTATGGGCGTTATGGGGGGGGGGGGGGGTTTACACACATAAAAATACCAAAGGGAGGGGTTTAACCCCCCAACCCCCCCCCCCCCCCCCCCCCTGTTTACGTGCCTGAGGCTAGCGTATAAGTATTCCCATGATATTACTGGAAATATAATCAACTAGCAAAAGTATCAAAGAGCACAAGGCTAAGTCCCAGTCAGCGGTCAAACGATAACAGTGTGTTGATCGGGGTGGTTGATTGTATTGGTATGACTAACCTTTTTTTCGGGGGGGGGGGGGTTGTTGTAATGTGTTACGGCACCCTTAAGCTTTCTCCTTCTCAGTATGAGTCTGCGGACATTGAGGGATTTGCTATTACATTGCTAGGAGCTTAAAGGTTTAGGTCCTAAATTCCTTGTGAAGAGGTGGTACCAAACAAATTAAACCCTTTTTTCTGGGGGGGGGGGGGGTGGGAGGGGGCTAACGTACTATAAATACACTTATTGTACGCCAGATAGAACATACATGATTTAGTGGTTCTTGGGTGAAAATTAGAGTCGTTAATTTGGAATAGTTTCTCACTCTTCTTCTTTGACTCTCCAGTAATCAACATGAAGCTTCTGCTTGCATCAATGGTCCTTCTAGCCGTGGCATTTCGCGGCTTAGATGCCAATGTGTATCTTCCATGCCCTCAGTTCTGGCTTCCATTTAACGGGAACTGCTACCGTTACTTCGGGGAGCGGGTCCCTTGGGCAGAGGCTCGGGATCGCTGCAGGGATCACTACTCCTTCAACGGACGGGCTGACTTAGTATCCATCCACACGGAACAGGAGAACGCCTTCGCTTACGAACTTTTCCGCTCTTCTGCAGACTTTACAAGGGATCATGTAAATATGGATGACCTACTTTAGCTTAGACTGTTAATTAAAAGGAAATCTAACCTTGGTAGCAAACTGCTCTACAAGAAATCACGATAATCAGAGAAGCACACTGGTGGAAGTTTGAAAGAAATCGGACAAAATTGAGACAGTTATGAATTTAAAAATTTACAATCACTATCGATATGGGTTATACAAATTGGCTGAATCGGTTTTTAGTGTCTATGTGATGTAGTAGCGGACAACTTTCCCTCTTGTGCCAAAACACAAAATGACTGAAATTTCAATTTTTGAAAAATGTATGACTTGGGATGATCTTTTCTTTTTAGAGGACCTTTAAATAATGTACTCTCCATAATACATTTTGACTAGTGCCCAAAGGGTGAAGGCACATGGGTGAAAAACAGAAATTAGCGATACGTTTGTACACAACAAATGAAAGACTTATCCGTCACTACCGTGTTAGTCAAACAAAGTTTAAGCCTACACCTATGAAATTGCTATTTTTTTAAAAATCATCTATGAACAGTAAACTATTATTCACCTTATGAAAGAGTGTTTTTTATCCCGAATCATTTTGGTATCATTTTTGTGTGGTATGTGTTCACGCTTGTATGAACAGGAGACATTGTTTACGAGAGTGCGAAAATCGACTTGCGCCAAAGTTGCTCATGTGATGTTTGAATAAAAAAAAATGGGATTTGGGTATTAAATCGGTCATTGCAGATCCAAATAACATCCCAAACAAAATTAATCATGCCACACATATCAAATATCGAATATCACATATCAACGAACATGTGTGCGCGCGTGGGTGCGTGTGTATGTGTGTGTGTGTGACTTTGCTTCTGCAAAAAGCATATGCAATTAATCTCATTTGATACATTAAATTCATTCTCTCACTTTAATCCCAACATATCACATACTGTAGGCATCACTTTGGCGCAAGTCGATTTTTGCACTCTCGCAAACAATGCCCATACCACACAAAAATGATGCCAAATGATTTCGGATAGAACGCTCTTTCATAACATGTATAACAATATACTGTTCATAGATGATTTTTAAAATAATTAGCAATTTTCTAGATGTAAATTTGTGTATTGACTCACACGGTACATCACAATCCACTGACAAAATTGACAATTTGAGATTCGGATAGGTGTAGTGATCTCATATTTTCATATATTCATAACTTTGTTATTATTGGACCGATGTATTTCCAACTTTCGCCATTCTGCTTATCTGGCTTTTCTGCTTTCATTCAAATGAACGTATTACAATGGTTGGATTGCCTTTAACAAAAAAAGTTTCCTGGGCATGGCTTAGTTAGAAGGGTTAGTTCCGTTTAAAGATAAACTTGAGTTCTGGTTTAAAAAAATGAATTCTCACAGAATCTAACGAAACTTACACTGAATGTTCAAGATTACAAATAAATGTCAAGTGCCAAAATTTTTGGAAGAAAATGTATACTGGCTGAGTGATGAGAAAGATAAGGAAATCAAGGTAGTACTAGCCCCGACACCATTTGTTTTTTCCCATATACATCTTTCTGTGTATAGTGATTGTTACGTTACCAAGACTGGGCCAAATTTATGATGATTTTGATGACTCCAGAACCTTGCAGTACACACCAATACTTACATGCTATATGATCAATTTTTTCTGATCCATTCCACACCTTTTCTTTCACAATGCAATCGCATTACCGGAACTCACCTTTATCTTTAAAGTGTGTCTAGCTTATGTGTAACGTATGCCTAACTTATGAAGAGGACGTCGGCATGCGCAAGTACGAATGTCCTCTGATAGTACAGCACACAAATTGGCCAACTCGGCTTCAGTTGGAGATACTCTAATGCACATTCTTTGTGTTTTCCCAACAAAACAATACAGAATCTTTGTTTACACGGCTCCGAGCAATAACTTACAAGGACGCCCTTTGATGAATGCAAAAAAAACAACAAAAAAACAACATAATCTGGGATTTCCGGCCAAATTCGCGTGTTTGTCATTCGAATTCCTTTACTTTGCATTTAAGTTAGCGCAGATCGGCTTTGCCATGCCAATTATCATTCAATTTTCCAGTTTTTGTATTTAATTTAGGATTTTGGTCGAAGGGTTTCATAGATCTGTCATTCAATTTAGAAACTGCTCAACTAGCATTCAAATTAATATTCACTTGTCGAAGCGTAAGTTTTATCATTCAAATTAACACCTGTCATTCATATTCGTAAGATTTTTATTAAAGTAAGGAATGTTAGGGGGAAGAATTGCAACAAATTGTTACAGTTTTTAAATAATACAGTTAAAATGCATGATTTACCATTGGGGTCTAAGCTGTTGTTCCATTTATATATTTTCAGGACAATGCAGATGGGTGTAGTCAGACATAAGGTAAAGAAGGGATATGGCATTTCTGCACGGACATGTTCATATACCCGGGAAAGGTGGGGGTACCCTCAATCACCTTTTTTTTTTTTTTTTTTTTTACTACAGACTCGGAATTTTACAAAAGTAATTCACATCGTCTCTTATACCCAGCACACCCCTCTATTTTTCTTAGAGAGTTTCATAGTTTACTTGCCCGCCAGCAGATCGATGGCTAACGACATGGCTAAATAATGAATCATGTTCAAATTGTTAACTCTAGTCCCTACCCCAGTCAAAATATTGTACCCTTCTTCCATAATGAAATTATGATGAAATTATGATAAATTTATGATAAAACATCAGTAAGACAAACAACTTCCTTACATGAACATTTACAAATATACTGAGACCATCAGGTCCGTAGATGCAAGTCATTTTTTTCTTCTTAACAATCAAACTTAAATGCTGATGGATATCAGATAAATCTAATAAATATAAGTGTATAAATGCAAGAAAATGAAATATGATAAAATACACATGAAAAAACAATCTTGAAAGAAAAAGAATGAGCTATAAAAAGTGTGTAATAAACGAGAAATGTATATTGACCATCAATTTAAGTGCACAAAGTGCTTATTTGAATGCTACAAATGAATTAGAATGCTAAAAGTACACCGTCGCGTTGTCAGAAAATCGTGTTGCGCTATTAAAATCGAATGACCAAATAGCGAAAGAAGCACCTTGTTCATTAACTTGAATGAAACATACGTAGATTCTAACGAAAAATCCATAGATTTGAAAACTAGAAAAGGGAATATAAACCCGAGATATACCTGACTGCACTGATACCGTCGAATTTGAACGCAAGACAAATTCATTTGAATGACAAACTCGCGAATTTGACCAGGAAATCCTATAGTAGCGATGTAACATGTAAAGGGTAAAAATACATTAGGTTTATTAGCTATATAGTGATACACAGTTTAAGTAAGAGAGAGAGAGAGAGAGTGAGATAGAAAGGGATAGAGGGGACATGGTGTAAAGAGAGCGGTATAGAGAGATAATGAGAGAGAAAGAAAGAGAAACAAATGCAGAGAGAAAGAGGGGAGAGAGAAAAACAGATAGGGGCTGACTTAGTACATGTAGAATATTTAAGATTTTAGTACGAGGGTTCTCTGGCAATATATATACATAATTACACACACTGTATATGTGTGATTTTTTTAATGGGATAAATAACATAAAATCACTTTAAGTAAAGGCTCTTTTATAGTGACAAAGCAGTAAACACTTTGATGCGCCTTTTAATATGATTAATTAATAATGACGGATAATTCCAGTGAAAAATAACTTGCAAGTAGTATTTGAACACATGAAACGTAAGAAGGAAAGGGGGCACATAACCCCCCCCCCCCCAATGAATTAGGGGGGAAGAAAGAAAGAGCAAATAGAGAGAGGGGGAAGGGGATAGGGGAGGGGGGAGAAAGAGAGAAAGAGGAAGAGAGAGAAAGAAAGAGGTAAAGAGAGAAACAGGTTGCAGGGAAGGGAGAGTAGATGAAAGGGTGAAATGGCGAATATAAATCGTCCTCAGAATTTATTAAAATTCGTGACACTACAACGGCATATTGTTCTATTCATTTGAACCGTCAAGAGTATTGTTTTCTTTTCCAATGTCCCACCATGCTAATGTTATAGATTACGGGGAACGGCGTTCGTTCGGAATCCAGCCCTGCACTAATGTTCTTTGGCAAGACATTAATCTATAGTTGCCAATCTTCACCCAGTAATCAATGGGTAGGAAGCCCTGGCTATAACTAGGGTAATAATGTATAAGTGCCACGAGTAACAAGGCGCCACGGATATGAGCGCTATACAGTGCGACCCAGAAAAAACGAAACCGAGAATTATCTGTTTTTTCATAACTTACTCACAATTATAATTTAAAAAATGACACATATTTATAAAGCTTAGATCCTCTTCTTTCATTTAATGCAACTCATATGATGCATATTTCACGCATGAGTGATTAAAGGCACATTGCCATACTTGTAGCTTCTTGCTCCCTCTATACAGAAAACTTCCCCAATCGGTGCCTGTTGGCCCCCCGTGATCCTCTTTTTCTTATGTTAAATGAGAGCTGAGTTAATGAGATAGCCACCTGTCACAGTGACCTCGCTGGCTCGCTGGGCGGCCTAATCCCTTCTGGCTGAAGTAGTAAAGCCTGCCTTTAAAAGCAATTTGAAGGAAGGAAACCAAACAGTCATCTAGCGGGCGGTATCTGAATTTCGAAGAAAAATTCACATTTCCAGAAAGTTCATTTTCTGCTCTTTCATATGACACCTCAATCAGGAAAAAAATAGCCAGGAATGTCAAAGTTCTGTTTGTTTAAAGTGATGCTTGCATTTCCATTATTTGATTTAACAAGTTCGTTTTCACTGGCTGCCTGCCGTAGCAACAAGGAGAATCGCCAAAAGACTTAACCCTGTTTCATTGACAATCAGCCATGCATGAAGCCTTTCGTCTATGTCTCATCGACAACGAGACGGAGTTAGTAGGTATTCATTGATTTTAAAAACTAACTTTATTTTCATTATTGCCAAGTTGAAACTTTGATTCGACAAGGTTATCAAAATTCAATGCTTGGAAACATTCTGTAATTAATGATTATTATAAATTACAAAACGCTTAAATACAACCCCGGCATAGCACATGAAGAGCTCTCCGAACGCTGCTGAGATGTGTGAGATCACAGTATGGACATGATTTGCACAAGCAGACGATGTCCCATGACATCTCACACATTTTCAGTGCCTGTGTTTTCATCTTCTCTTGAGTTCTTTCTCTTACTTCACTACCGTCAGGCTAAATATATAATATATTGCCTCACTCTAAACCCCGCGCATGGTTTTATTTTGATGACAAATGCAGCTATACAAAAATAAAGGAATATATCGCTCGTAAACAAAATAACAAGCCATTGTATATTCAGCTGCACACACCGCGGTATGTTCGTCAAGAGGGAACAAATGCCGTCCTTAATATCATTACGGGTTTTTTTTAAATTTGAAAGTCTGGTTTCTTCGATTGTTAATTAACCCCTATCCTGTGTATTTACAAGCAAAAGATTTTAGTTATCGGAATGGGGTCATATCCCTTTTTGAATGGTTTGACATGCCATTTCATTTATATGCACTAAACTCATCATAATTTGACAAATAATAGCTTAGCAATTATGTTCATTCTTTATGGGATGTCGTCTGCTTGGGCAGTATTGATCCATATTGTAACGTCATTAACACATCGTTATTTTTCTGGCGAATCTCTCGTATATCCCAGCTGCTATGGGGGTGGTTGTATTTGTAGTTTTATAAACCATCCGTTATGTAGTTGACCTAAAACTTGTACGATGGCCAACTGTTAGCTTACCAGTTTCTAGTGATACATTAGTTGATATATTTGTGATTTTCTTTGAATTTCACCTTTAAGTCTTTTGTCAATTTTGTTTGTTGCTACGGCCGGCAGCCAGTGAAAACGAATTCGTTTGATCAAATTATGGAAATGCAAGCATCACTTTAAACAAACAGAACTTTGTTATTCCTGGCTTATTTTTTTCTGATTGAGGTGTCATATGACAGAGCAGAAAATGAACTTTCTAGAAATGTGAATTTTTCTTCGAAATTCAGATACAGCCCGCCAATTGATTTGTTGGTTTCCTTCCTTCAAATTGCTTTTAATCACTCATGCATGAAATATGCATCATATGAGTTGCATAAAATGAAAGAAGAGGATCTAAGCTTTAGAAATATGTGTCATTTATTAATTATAATTGTGATTAGGTTATGATAAAACATCGATAATTCTCGGTTTCGTTTTTGCTGGGTCGCACTGTATAAGAAGCCATTATTACTTGCAGTTCATAAAAAATAGTACATTCACTCTTCTTCTGATCTAAACCTTTCTTCTGATCTGATGGTAATGATTTTTTTTATTACTGATTTTGGTGTTGTTGTCCTGGACAGAGTGCTTGGATTGGTGCCTACCAGACAATACAAGACGGACCTTTCATTTGGTCTGATGGATCTGGTCTAAACTTCGAGCGGTGGTTGCCGGGTGAGCCGTCCAACGGTGGTAACATTGAGGATTGCGTCCATTTGTGGCGTAGGAACGCAGGGGATGAAATCCTCCGGCCTTGGAACGATCGTCCCTGTGAAAGGGACACGCCTTTCATTTGTAAGGTGGTGTCAAATTAGAATTCCCAGTTGGCTGTACCCTGAATTCAAAGCTTCCTTGATATATCTGTATGGTTAAGACTACAATTTGAATTCTTTGACAACATTCTGAAAACCTTGGAAACTAGTAGGGCTATCATAACGTTCAGGGGGTGATGCATGCTTGATCGATTCTATTTTCCACAGTCCATTAGTCAGTATTTTGTGTTTTTGCTTCATTACAAGAGACAAATTGACCTGGGAGAACTTTACATTCAGATTTTCTTTCTAGTTTAGTATACGAAATCCGTCCCATTTTTAAACGGTTAGGCCTCCGTCATAGATCCCGCCGTATTTTAAATAGCCAACCGTTTTTTTGTTGGGGAGAAGTGTATAGGCACGTAAAGCCCTTAAAATACATGTTTAAAGAAAATGTCGGGAGGCAATTGGGATAGATTATGTACAAAGTTTTGTTAATTGCTGTATACGCTGAGGTTATAGAATCATCAACATGATGGAATAAGATATTCGATTTTAGTCACGTTAGTGCTCACATAAATGTGTGTATAGGCACTTCACGCCCTTTAAAATACATGTTTAAAGAAAATGTCGGGAGGTAATTGGAAAAGGTTACTTACAAAGTATTTGTTATACGCTGAGGTTATAGAATCATCAAAATGATGGGAAAAGAGATTCGATTTTAGTCACGTTCAGTGCTCACATAAATGGGGGTATGGGACATACACATGTGCCAGCAAGTTTGGTTCAATATTTCAGCTATTTCTTGTAATATTTCAGATTTAAAGGCATTTGCAGAGCGACTCATATCAGATGAAAATGTTGACATGATATTGTTTAAACAAAATTAACACATTAAAAAGAATGAGACAAACTCAAAAATGTCAATTAAAGATGCTAGATCCGTAATGAGTACCTTCAGTTATAATTAAGAAGGCTACTTTAAATTGGTCTTAGACTTTTATCATGGTGTTTAACTGTTGTTCTGAAATTCTAATCATTTACCTTAGCGTCTGTAGATAAGAGTGAAATTTTTTTTTAACTCGCCGTTTTTTAAATGAAATAACTTTGCTGTGGAAATCTACATAATATGATCAGATCAATTTTGCTTCTTGAATTTGAGGATCTGTTACTTGAAAAGTCGAATTACTGTAAAATACCACTCAACATATATTTCATCATCTCTTTCTATGTTTTTTTTAGTGTTTCCTTCCTTTTTCCTTATCACATTTCCTGCTACATATATCCTTTCTACAGTTCGACCGAGCCAACTTTATTTTATGCTTTTACAGCTGGAGTGAATGAATTACATGCCATATCTCACAATATTTGTTTGGGTAGTTGTGTGTTTGCTTGTTTATTTTAATTTGAGATTATGTGCAAGTTTAACATGAGTGAGGCTAGCCATGAGGACTAAGTATAAAGACAGGGATGTAAAAAGTGGATTGGATACTTGTATTTCTCTTGTGTATGAGAGCATTTGTCAATTAATCTATGGGTCATAATAAGTTCGATGTTCCCTGTATGAACCTTTTTATGGACTACATACCATGCGCATAGGACTAAATACTGCCCTTGAATATGATTTTGGCAATCTTGGAACTTCAAGCTTAATCAATTCGTGATGGAAGCAGTGACCTACAAATTATACCTATCGTTCCTCATATGGTCTGTAGATAAGAGTGAAATTTAAACTCACAGTTTTTAAAAAATATCTTTGCCATGGAATTCAAGAAAATGTGATCGGATAGATTATGCTTCTTGACATTAAAAAAATGTTTTATGAAAAAGTGAATTATTGTAACGTACCACTGAATATATGTTTAATTATCTTTTCTGTGTTTGTTAGTGTTTCCTTTCTTTTTTTCGCATTTACTGCAACATGTTTCCTTTCTACTGTTCGACTAAGCCAACTTTATTTCATGCTTTTATAGCTGGAGTAAACGAATTACAGGTCATAACTAACAACATTTCTTGTTTGTATGCTTGTTTGTTTTTATTTACGATTGCGTTCAAGGTTAGTTATGAGTGAGGTGAGTAATGAGGACTGAGTAAAAAGAGAGGGATGTATAAAGTGGATCGGATACATTTATTTCGTCTATGTATGAGAGCATTTGTCCAGTAATCTATGGGTCGATGTTCCCTGCATGATTCACTTATTTCGGACTTGATTTCATGCGTTTAGGACTAAAGACTTACTTTAAACTAGATCTTCACTATCATAAAAACTTCAAGCGAACTTTTTTTTTTATGGGAGCCATGACCTGCATATTATACCCATCGTTCCCTAGTACCCCCCGGCAGGGCTCTGCCCCTGGACCCCATCCGTAAAAACAGAAGTAGATCACAAGATAAACAAATGATGTATAAAGTTATCTTTAGGAGAGAGAGAGAGAGAGAGAGAGAGAGAGAGTGAGAGTGCGTGTTCGTGTTTTATTGATCAAGACGGCTTCTTGAAGGTTCTGATAATGCCGAAGTGCTACAACTCGAGAGCTTTCAGAGACTAACCACCCCTCCTCCTACCAGGTTCACGTGGGGACTCTGTCACTGCACAATGGGAAGGGCTCACTCTACGCCTGCAATGCGCTTTGCGTTAAATTTTGCTTCGTCACCCCCTTGAAAATCCTGGATCCGGCACTGCAGAGATGAATGGCCATAAACTTGTGCCATGGCATTAGTAAGTAGGAGAGGAACTTGTAACATACGAAAGAAAAAAAGCAAGGAAAAGTCCTCCTTTTAAAAAATGAGCGTTTATCAATCTGGCAAGCGTTTGTGAACAATAATGAAAATATCCCTTTTGAATAAAAAGCTATTCCTAGTCTGGTTTGAGCAACTGTTAGCAAGAAAACAAGTTGTTGCTTCTTTCTGCTAGTAATTACCTGGTTTAGCGATAGTTCCAGATTATGGGTTTATATGGCATTAGTCCAGAAACTAGCCGGTTCTTATATTTGATATCTGCGATATTTCCTACACTTCCTTCAAGCCGCCGCAGATGGCACTATCAACGACCTTAGTCCTTTACGCCGGGCGTAGAAATTCGGAGATCACGTCATGTTCTGCCTGCAGTAAGTACGGTGAGATCGGGGTTGGGTTGGTGGAGATTATTTAATATCGAATCGGCCAGATTCTTTACTAATATTGCATCAGTGACGGTTTTTCTTTCGGTAGGCATCACTTTATCAGTAGTGGAGGCATATTTCTAAAAATAGCCACAACCCTAATGCTAACCCTACTTGTTGCACGTGGTAGTGAATGCAAAGCATTTGATGTAAAATTGCTACCCTAACTACATTACGCTAGACAGTGGATATCTTTTTAAAAGTAGAAACATGCAGCTAATACTGACTGAATAATCTATCTATCCAGCAGTCTCTATCTTCCATTCATAAGTCAAGCATTGAATTTACAATAGGAAGGCGCTATCCAATTTAGGGAGCTTCAATGTTGCAGTTGTAAAACCTCCCGTGAAACAGTCTTTTCTTGGACTTCGAAGGGCAAATAAATCTTGTCTTTTTTTTTTACCTAATGGGCATTTCACGACTTGGGCGACCAGACTAACTATTATCAATCAACTTTCACTACAACTAAGGTATAATAACATCAATAAAAAAACTTAATTCTAAATTATATTGCCTAAAATACACTGCTATAACTAAACTAGTCCAGAACCTGGCATATTTAATTTTGATCTCCACCACACCAACGCATTATGCGACATCCGCCTACATACTTGCTGTTAGCCGAAGGATGCGTGATCATTAAATTAGGACTCCCAGCGAAAAAAAAATAGGGCTGGTGAGCGTTTAATAATTTCCTTTGTAGGTAGGCCTACCCTTTTTTTTTCTTCCAGAAAGTGACTCGTCTATTTTTGCTTTGAGATTTTCATTCGTTGGTAGGCCTACCCCTTTTTTTCTTCCAGAAAGTGACCTTTTAGTTCATCTCCCCACTTTGAAAAAGCCATCCACCGCCCCTGTTCTGTGTACAGGAATTTAAAGGGCCACTCTAACCGAAACGGCTAAAAAATGAAGAAAATAAAAGACATGTAGAATAATTTTTGACGGAGATTCCGGACATGACAATAATTTTTCTTAGAAATCATCAATAATTCTGGAATCTAGCCTTAAAAATGTCGGCTCAGAACGCTCAGAAAAAAGCCCAGTTTCGGAGCTGTACTGTGCAACTGTTTATAACCTCACTGCAGTAGTCTCTCCGGTGAAAAGGAGGGCCGGTGACTTAGATATTAAAGGTCTTCAAAAAGGCAAACTATGATATTAATTGGGAAAAACAAGACATTTATCCCAAACATTATATGCACTTGATAATCCCAGTACGTTTCATTTATGGATTACAATGAGATTGTAAGATCCTTAGTTGTAGGACCACTCGGATATGCCCGCAATAACGTCGAATGCGTCATCAAGACCACGTGACCGTATTATCTTTTTCGAAGGGCGTAACCCAGCAAGCGTGAGAACTGTGAAAAATGGATGGTTATTATCATTTTTTTGTCAATACAGACATTTTCCGAAAGATATATAAAATGGAAACACTGGTAAAAAGAAATTTGTCTCAGGTCGTTGTTGAGCATCTTCATCCTTTTATCAATCACAAGTGCCACAATGCTGTAACAAAATGTTCGGATCCAATTGACAAATGCAAGGATTTTAGTAGCATATACTTTTATCAGATATTCTGTTTTGTCACATACTGATAATACTTTTGATGGAACAGGGACCAAATTCAAATCATCTTATTTACAAAGTGCAACAGTGCCTATCGATTGCCATATTCTTTTCATCTTGCTTGCCATTCTGTTGCACATGTGTGTCTGCATAATGTGAGTTACAATTGAAACTGTTCATGCATACCACTGCCAAATGCGCAGTCATTTGAAGTTGGACTCTATGCGACTCGTCGCCATCTTGACTCATCTGAAGCTCAAATTAGCTGTAGATATTGATGAATTAATTTTCTTCCGACAAAGTTTTCATTATCGAAGGAGTTTCTACATTGTCAACGTTCTC